AGGCCATAAATAAATCTTAAAATTATTAATAGTTGTGCCCTGATGTCTTAACAATGGTACTTTTTCACATAACTAAATATACTAACTTTTGGAGTTTAGTTCAACACAGTTTGAAAGTGCCACTTTTATAAAAGCCTAGGTAAACATGTTTACGCTTGAACTGAGGGAAAGATTTTGTTTACTTTCCCTGACTTGTCTTGGAATATATAAGAAGAATTTTAGACTGGCGTATTTGCTGATTCTCTTCCCAGTGTATTGATGTTTATCTTACAATATTTCTCCTGGTCTGAGCAAAATATTCCAAACTAGCCAGCCTACAGCAACATATTTTTACATACCAAAGGTGACTAGTAGATTGTGAAGCTGTTACATTTAATGAAAGTATATGGATTTTATACAGCTATCACTGCACACATCAAGTGTCATTGTGGGAATGCTGAAGTGCAAATGGACTTCAAATCTGTAAGCGCAGATGCTGTGAGCTCCAACCAGTCTCTTACAATACAAGAAATCAAAGGGCATCTGTACTAAAATGCCTCTACCTCTTTTAGCATCATCAGTGGCTATAACTCTCCCAAGATTAAATGCAGAATAAAGATACAGTACAGATAAAACAACTCAGTACATCAATTCAATCTTCAAGATGGCTTATAAAATAATATGCACTTTACTTTAGTTCTAATACAAACATGAAAAGAGCATTTGCAAAGATTTACAGGTTAATACAGGGTACTGCACTTACCAAGATGTGTGTTCATCATTTTTGCACAATATTTGCACATGGCTTCCAAATCGTTTAGCTGTCCTTGTAGGAATGAAATCTGGGCCTCCAATTCTTCCTCCTACAATTAAGAGATTATTAGCATATAATACCCCCAACTTTCTATAATGCATAGTGAAATCAGTAAGTTAACCCCTGACATACTTAGACATCTTTTAATTTTTTCTATTCCTTTGTTCTTGGCAATTTTGTCATTTCATGGAAATAGGGTTTTTAATATTTCAGTGTTTATTAATACTACTCCTTTTCCTTCTAAAAGTTAAATAGAACAGTCTGCATTGACCTCAGAAAGGTTAATGATTCAGAACTCTTTTACAAACCAACAACCTGTTTTTGCTTGTGCAAACACAGTACCACAGTAATAGCTGAAAAAACTCACTAAATGAGAAAAATTCTAGTTTTTGCCAGAGTAATTTCCACAGCAATTCCTTTGAACCCCTTTTTTAACTTCAAGGCATATATTTCACGAGACCTAGTATCACATCTCAAGGATGCATCACTGCCATATATTTGGGCACACTTATTTTCATAACACCTCATCTCTATCTGTATAAAACCTATGCACAGCCAGCTGCCCTTTAAAACATCATCTTACATACAATTTAATTGAAAATTATTTTTAACTCACATACTATAAAGCAGGTATTCCAAATTATTAAGTTATGTTTAAAAATATGCATCAAGTGTAATTTAAAATAGGAATTAGGAAAAAAAAAGATTTTGAGGCCCAGGAGAAGCATTAATATCTAGCCACATGCCCTGTGGCCCTAAGCAATGGGAACTAACTCAGCTCAGAATTCCTCTTTGAATACCTTTGATTGCTGGTTTAAAAATCTATTCAGTCTCGACTTTGAATACCATACTGCAGAAAGTTCACACCTTAGGGAAAATTCCTTCAAAGCTTAGTCATGAACAGTACTAATTAGGCTTTTGTTTGTTTAAGTATGCAATTGAATTCAAGATACTCAGATAAAGCCAAAGTAACTTTTTAGCCTCTTGTTTTTCTTAGGAGCTTTGCAGTTCTATCATATACCCTTTTTTAATGGAGATCACTGAGCATTAGAATGTGATTTACTTTTCAAATGAAAAATACCCAAAACTTATCACCGAGAACCAAGAGAATGAATCATTCTTGATTTAAAGGTACAAGTGATCTTAATCTCCATCAGAAAACAAGTCAGAGCCAAGCAAAGGAAACTTCCCACTAATATATTCTATATCCAAAAGAGACTAATGAATAAAAAGCATTGTAACCACAGCATTTTGTAATATCTAGCAATATCACTTTTTTCCTTACAGACTTTTTTCTCACACCTACAATCTACATATATTAAAGATTTTTCTTCACTACTTATTTGTATTATGTGCTCTCACCTTTTTTCTCTCAACCTCATTCTTTGACCACTTACACTTCAAAGGGATTGATTTTATTTGTCAATTTACAGTTGCTGAAAGAGTGATTTCACTCAAAGCCTGCAGTTCTGTCACAGCCTATACATGCATATTTGGATTGACATTTCTATTCAAGAGATGTTCCTCTAGAAGACCTTTTTCTAGTATCTACAGGTACTGACTGCAGGAAATAATCTACCATAAATTTTCAATTGCCATTGGCACTGCAAGTGCAGCTGTAAGATAGGGAAAGGTGACAATACTTGAGTATTCTACTATAAAATAACATAATCAAATCTTAAAATTATTAGTAAATACCTGAACCCCAGTTTATCTCCTATAAGTGAAAAAGAAAATTTAGCTGCTAGTAATAAATATTTCCATGTTTCCCAGACTACATTTTTTCTTATTCATGAATGAGAACTGCAGTAAATTGATCTTAAAATGCTTTTGGACAGCTCAATCCACCCAAGCAGATTCTGAAACTGACCTTTTCAATTGTACAACAGTACCTCTTCTTCTGGCAAGTGAGACCAATGCTGAGTAAACTACATCCACCATTCTTCCCACTTGCTAGGATCCAGCCTGGGGAGCAGAAGTGTTCAGCAGACCTAACATTCACAAAGGAGAGTTCTGTGGCCTGGGAGTCACAGACGGTTTAAGAGGTCTCCTGCCAAGCGGGAAATCTTGCACAAGGCCGAGTGAATGTACCTGGTGTTCCTGACATATCTGGGATCCTTGGGAAGGGCACCAGGAAGTGCTGGCAGTGGGACGTCCCAATAAGCAAGACAGTGAATGTGTCACTTGACACATCAGAGACCCAGGACTTTTTGCACAAGAAGACAACATGCAAACGGTAGGTAATGACTTGCTACAGGGCATAACCCCAGCCTCGGCTGTCACCAGCAGCGCTGTGGCAACCTCTGTGCAGAGGACCCTGAGGGTGACTCCCTGAAGGGGGATTTGTTCTGTTGCAGTTGCCGCAGCAGCAGGTGAGGAGTTGTAAGAAGAGGTGGGTGTGTTTTATTGCATCAGGGGTTACTAACAGGTGATTGACAAGATCTTTCAAGGTGTAAAACCTCATGCAACAGACAGGGAAGGTGCAACTGAGGCAAGACACAGTGGGAAAAAGACATACACTTCTGAGAGGCAGGAAACTGGAAGCTTATGATTTCTGGCAGCAGAAAGGCTGACCAGTGCTGCAGAGGGGAAGAACAAGCTCCCTCAGACGATGAATTCAGATTGGACATTGTATCAGAACACTACCAAGGGAAAGTGGTGACTGACAGTCAGTGACTGGTGACTCTTCCAGCCTGACTCATCACCTAGGGAGGTTTCTTGCTTGCATGGAGGCTCGGTTTGTGGTGTTGTGAAAGACCGTTTGGGGTCACCTAATGGTTAAGGGGATAGGAACCCTGGTGGTGTTTCTCTTCAATCCTGTGGCAAAAGGGAGAATCAGCAGATGTATCAGGGAGACCACATATGATTACATATCTGGTGGCATTAGATGGATTTCAACTATTTTGCTTGTGGCATTCAATTTTATGAGGACAGACATCTAGAGAACAGGTCTACCTGGCAAAGAGAGGGAAGAATCTCTCTGAACAGATTTGCTAATCTAGTGGGGAGGACTTTGTCACAGAACAAGTGAAATACATGAGGAAGCAGCACATACAGACAAGGTATGCAGAAGGTCCACTTGGCTGAGTAAGGAGATTTTTAATGAACTAAAATGGGAAAAGCACATATGGTGGAAATGGAGAGCACATGTGTGGTAACAATGACAGGAAACAAAGGACAGGCACAAAATCATTGTTTGGGCACATGAACAAAACTAGGAAGGACAAAACCCAGCTGGAGCTAAAATTAATGGGGGACATTAAAGGGTAATGAGAAAGAATTTTATAAGTATGCAGAGCAGCAAAAGGAGATTCAAAGAAAATGTAGGTCTGTTGCTTACTAAGGGAGACAAGACAACAACGTGATACTGAAAAGGCTGCAGCACTCAATACAATTTTTGCTTCTCTCTTTTTAGGCTGACTCTGCTCCCAGACCTTTGCATTTACAGTTTGGGAAGGAGAGGAATGGCTGAGGGGGAGGAGGGGAGGGGCATAAGTTGGTGAATACTTGAAGAAGCAGTATGCAATCAAATGCAATGGGACCACATGGGACACCCCTATGGGTGCTGAAAAACCTGACCATGTGATTGCAACACCACTGGCTATCATCTATGAAAAAACACTGATATTACAGAACATCCTTGATGACTGCAGAAAGGTTAATTTTACATACATATTAAAGAAGAGTGAGGAGGAGTACCTAAGGAACTATACAATGGTTGGCCTCACCTTAGTCCTTGGAAAAACTGTGGAGCATGTCCTCTTGGAATCAATTTTCAACATGTAAAGGATAAGACAATAATCAAGAAAAGTCAACAAGGATTTACCAAGAGCAAATCATGCTTGACCAATCTGGTTGCCTGCTATGATGAAATGACTGGGCATGCAGATGAACGGAGAGAAGTGAATGCCATGTATTTTTACTTTAGTTAGGCTTTTGACACTTGTTTCCAAAAGCATTGTCATTTATAGTATGAAGAAGTAATAATGGCCAGTCTTTGCGAACAAAGAACCAGGGAAGGTCTTTCCACCTTCCAGCCTGCGCATTGGATTTTTTAGGTGAGACACAGTGTGCGTGAAACTGAGCCCACCCTTTAATCCTGGGGTTCATCTGCCGGGGCCAAGCGAGCTTGGACGGTGGTGGCGAGGTCCTCAGGATGTAGATGGATTGCCTTACAGGGCTAACGAGCTCCATCTGCCCGGGGAGTGGCCCCGACCGGGAATCGAACCCGGGTCTCTGCGGTGATAGCGCCGCGTCCTTAACCACTAGACCACCAGGAGCTCCCTATGAAGAAGTACAGCCTGAATGAAAAGACTGTACATGGGCTGAAAATTGTTCAGAACCCCAAGCTTAAAGACGAGAGTCAATGTCTTGATGTCTAGTTGGTGTTTGGAAATGAGCACAGTAACAATGGACTGCTATGAAGCTACTGTTCTGTATCTTCACCAATAGCCCATATAAGGAGACAGAATGTACCCCCAGTAGATTTTCAGATGATGCAAAACTGGGAGGTTTGGTTGCTGTGCTGACTGGAAGAACCTCAATTCACAAACACCAGGACATGCTGGAAGCCTAGGCAAGAGAAAACTTTCTGAGGTTCCTGTTTTAGAAATTTCAGTAAGTGCAAAATTCTGCACCTGAGGAAAGAAAAACCCAATGCACCAGTGCAGATGGGGAAGGAATTTACTGTCTCTCAGTTCTGCTGAAAAGGATATGGAAGCTACAGTGGCTGTTGAGCTGTTCACAAGCTAATAAAGTTCTCTTATCATGAATAATGTGAACAGTTGCGCCTGGCTACATAATGAGGAATGTGTTCAGCAGATCCAAGAAAGTCATTACTCCCCTCTGCTTCATGTTCTTGAGCTCTCACCTTTAATAATGCTTTTGGCCTGCAGTTCAAGAAGGACATAGAGAAACAGGAGAGGTTTCAGTGCAGGGCTACAATGAAGGCTACAGGTATAGAGGACAGGCTGAGGGAGCTAGGCTTGTTTATTTTGGTGAAGAAGAGCCCAAAGGGGATCTATTGAGAGCCTGCAACTACACAGAGTGACAAAGACGAGGCAGTCAAGCTCTTCCCAGATGATACAGAAGGAACTGTGGCCCAAAACTGCCCCTTGGAAGGTTCAAATTGGTCACTAGGAAAATTTTCTTCATTAGAAGAGCAGTGTAGCACTGGAAGAGGCTACTTACAGAAGTGGTAGTTTCATTTAAAGTCACTAAACTGTTCTGATGCTAGTGATTGTCCTGCTCCAAGTAGCAGCTTGAGCAGAAGACTCTTCTAATCAACATTTCTAAGACTAATCTTTTCACAGAACCTTTCTAAAATAGTTCTGTAAAGCAGTAAAATCACAAAGGCCCCCAGAAAAAAGTACTTTTTTCCAGTATTCAAAAGTCAAATTCTTTAGCAGTATTAGATGAAAAAGCTCATTTATAGCCATCATTGTGCAGACAATCTCAGTTCTTGTCTAGACAATATATATTGTACTTTCCTCTGAGTGCAAAGTTTTGTGTTTCACTGTGCTAAGACAACGAATAGCCTGGATACCACTTTTATTTTATGTACAAATAGCAGAGCTGATTTGATCTCTCTTATGCATGATGAACAGAGACCTAAAAATTCACCAAATAGGCCAAACATAAGAGAAAACAAGTATGGTCTATGTTCTGTCAAGAAATCGACCTTTCAGCTGATCGGACAGCTGAAACATGCAAACGACGATTTCAACTCATTCAGGCACAGCTCTCAGAAGTTAACCAGCTGATCACAAAATACACTAACCAAAATAAAAAATCAGTGTTAGCTTACTGAACAACATGTTCTATGATGCATAAAAGCTCAATATTTTCTAATACTGGGAGTTGCATTATAAAGAAGAAAAACAAATCAAGCAGCAAATCAAATAAATCACTACATCAAACATGGGAGACCAAGATGCGCAAACTGACATACACAATCTCGCAGAAAACCAGTACTTTCTGAAAATTCAGCCCCAGGGTTTTCAAAATACTTCTCCACACCTTCAACCTTGCAGATGAGGTAGATAACCTTACTGATAACCAATAACATTTTGAATTGAACACGAGAATGAAAAGGAAATAGTTTATTTTTGATGCCACCCAGATTTACGTTTCACTAACAATATAAATATAAAGCAGGCTAGAATTGATGTCTTCAGTCAAAGCAAGATTCTATTTGAGTGCCTCTGTATACATATCTCCAACTATTTTCCTGGTTTTGGCAAGACTGAATCTGTAAAAACGTGACTTCTATTTATGTTTCTCGTTTTTTGTTTTTTTTCTTATCCCCATTCAGGACTTTGCTTACATTGTTACATTTTCTTTTTTCTTTTGCCATGAAAACTAATTCCTTCATGATTAATTATTTGCCATTTCTTTGCTATTTCTTCTCCCTAGTCTATATGGTTCTGTACTCTTCATTTGTCCAAAGCCTGTTCTTCCCTTTTTATTACCTTTCCTTTCATCTATCTTCTCACCTTTACAAAGACAGCTATGGAAATAAATTTTTTATATCCTTCCTTCTCTCCTGAGCTCATAATGAAATCAGCAATGCCTCTAACATGCCCCGTTTTTCATCAAATTTTACTGTTCCAGAAAAACAGCTGTGAATAACTGAAAGTGGTCAGCACATTCAAGAACAGATTACAGAAAGTTTTATACTTTTGACATTGTAATCCTATCCTTTTACAGCTCATCGCTTTACAAGCTGCAATAAGGTTTGTGGACACTGGTAAGGGCACTGGAATTTGGAAACCTTCAAAAGTGAAGGTCTGAAGAAATATAGTTTTAGAAGAAACCACTCTTTCTCAAAATTGTTTTTATCAGGTTAAACAAATTTTCTCCCAAATACATGACATGTAGCTTAACATAGAAGCATGGAAAACACAGAATATGAACCCAGAAAATCAGGACTGTATACTCTTTCACAATACCATTTAGTTTTCAGACTTACTGTTCAGAAAATGGAAGAAAAAATTGTACTTTTGTTTGTTTTATCCATGTAGAAAACTGAGGGAAGAGAAAGCTTTGTTGTCAAAGTTTTACAACAGTGTATGTCCAACCTCTTCGCTCATGAACACTAAGAACGACAAAGCGCCACTGATCTTAAATCTGAATCCTGAACAGGAATTAACTTGGTAGCACTACCAACCGCTAAATGTAGCGAAAAAGAAACTATCCTCAAAGAAAAGAGTATTTAAAGGTATTTAAGGTGTTTGAGCAATCACGATGCAAAATAAAACATAACAGAAAAAGTGACAGAACTGTGTTGGCGGAACAGCCCAGTACTCCTTGTCTGATGCTGGTCAGTGATGGATTGGATGAAGTGTAGTGAAAAAGAGAGTGTCATGATATACACCTGTAACAGTACCACCCAGAATACTCTCCCAGGCTATACAGATCAGGGATGTCTTGAACTACAGGTGTTTTGGATTTTTTTAGTATTAATTTGCCCAGTCACATTTTTCAGTTCTTACAGTATTCATAGTAAGAGCTCTAAGGAAATATCCCTTGAGCTCTTGGCAAATTGGCAGGTCAAATTAGAAAATAATTTTGATGAGGTATCAAAACATTTAGAGGAAAATAATGGGAAAAATGACACATACATGGAAATTCTGAAGTCAAGGACTTGCTAAGAGCCTTACCAGTACTTAAGTTTTTATTCATAAATTATACACAAAGTATACCTTTTGAATGTTGGTAGCATTTTACATGTCAAAGAAGATTCAGATGCATGGCATAAATTGCCTTTTTAATGAAATTTTAATGCAAATTTTAATGCAAAATTCCCTCGATAAAAAAGCAGTGGTTACTGTTGCCATTTTGTGAGAATTTATTTAATTTTCTAATCTAAGAATTAAATATAAGATTTAACCTTATAATCTTAAATCTCTGACAGCTGAATGTTGGTTGACACCCCCATAATTTTTTTATGCTCTATGCCAGCCACAGAATAGTCTACAGCATATGCTGACATTTAAACCAGAAACCACTGTTTCTCAGCAATCAATTATATACAGTGGAACTTTACCCAAAATTTTAATTTATTTTATTTACTAATTTATCTGTTATTTAACTCATGGTCCCTCATCAGGATCAAGGACTTGCTCTGCTTGGTGCTGTACAAACAAAAAAGAAAAATCCTGCTTCTCTAAAGGACTTCACAGTGTAAGCCAAGAGACAACAGATGGCTGCAGACACACATATGGGGAGGACATGGAAACAATATGGCTTTATTAGTCAGTCTTCTAGACATGGCTTCAGCGTAAAGCCAAACTGTTGTCGATGAGAAGGTGGAATTTTAAGAGAGTTTTCACAAGGCATTTGCTTTGCAGATGTTTAGAGGAAGTTTCTTCTGTGTGGAAGGGGCTAAAAAATCATTAGACAAAAGTTCACTAATCACATCGAAGTCAGGCGTGGAATGTATATTGCCATTTCTACATTGAAAATTTTGGTACTTGTAAAATTTTTGCACAAAATGGAATTATGTCAAATATTAATGTACTACTCAGAGAGGACATAAAGAAGTTCAGATACTGCCTTCAGATACTAATTCCTCCAGAAGAGAGGTTATGTATTGATTTCCAGTGCTGAACTACTTCCTGTCAATATTTCTACGTCCCTGTGCTAACTGAAGTATCCCCACACTAGTAAATTTCCAAATATACCTTACTCATGTTTTGTGTTCTTCACACCTTTACAACTGCCTGTGTTTTATCATTTTGAATATTCTCTCATCAATGTTAAACATTTTAAGCGCTTTAAGTACAATTTAAGTACTTTCAGATAAATCCTATAAAACCATATATTTTGTTCCTTTAGACTGCATACACAGTAAATGTGACCCATGTTTTAATTTTATACCATTTTAACTCCTGTTAATGTTTTTTTTTTCACCATTTTAACTCAGACTGCTTTACCATGATTGTATGAGGTATCTTAAGTAGGAATATCTTTCTTCCCTTTTTTCTTTTCTCTTCTTTAAAATTTCTCTTAATTTCACTGTGTAGTGCTAGTAGGTATAGTTGCTCAGATCTCATACTTACTGATAGTTACATACTTATTTCAGTACTTTTCTAAATTAGAACCCTTAAAGCACAAAGAGATCCTCTCCCAGATTAACAATAAATTATGATGTAGTTGCCCACCTTAAAGAAGGATAAGGGGAGTACAAAACCTACAGAATCATACTTTTTGTTTTTAAATCTCTTTTCTCCTCTCTTGTATCATTACTTTGACCTGTTGCTTTCCAATTTTGCTCTCTG